GGCGGCACAGTTTTATTCCATGAAACACGACCCCAGAGAGCCTCAAGTCCCGGGACAAACTCGTCCCACACAGCAGTTTTCCCCACGTACCAGTGCCAAAAGCACACACGTCCCCCTGCGGGTGCCACCACACGCAGGTGACCCCAGCGCACCTCTGTCCCCGCCGGCCACGCACCTGAAGGCACCACCCGCTGCCTCCCGCCGCTGCTGCCCGAGAAAGGGGATTTTCCCGTTCCCAGCACAGCTGCCCGAGCCTAGGGGATTTTCCCCGTTCCCGGCACAGCTGCCCGAGCCAAGGGGATTTTCCCCGTTCCCGGCCCAGCTGCCCGAGCCTAGGGGATTTTCCCCGTTCCCGGCACAGCTGCCGCCGGCACGGCAGGGACAGGCGAAGGGAGCGAGCCCCGCGTCCAGCGCTGCAGGGCGGACACGGGCCGGGCAGGGCCGGGACCGCGGCCCGCGGGTACCGCCCGCAGCTCCCGCCGCGCCGCCTTCTCCCGGGGCAGCAGCTGTCCTTGGTCATCCCTGCTGCTCCCAGGGAGTCTGTATCACCCAGCTTCCGTTCCTCCCCAGGTGTCCCCAGCTGCGTGGCAGCGGTGGCGTGCAGAGTCCCACGCCGTGTCCCCAGGCGCTCCCTTTGCCCGGGGGTTTTGGGGATCGTACCTGCAGCCGCACCTTGGCGGTGTCCAGGGGGAAGGTGCACAGGTCAGCAACGCAGCCGGCCATCCCCGCGCTGACGAACTTCATGGCGGCCGTCGGGGGCACCTCGGGGGGCTTCAGACCCACCATGGTGGCAGGGGGGCTGGAAGGAGAGGAGGGTTTGTGGGGGAGCCAGCAGGGCGCATCAGGACAGGGCTTCACGTGGGTGTCCTATTGGCCCGCCCCGGGCCCGCCCCGGGCCCGCCCCGGGCCCGCCCCGGGCCCGCCCCGGGCCCGCCCCGGGCCCGCCCCGGGCCCGCCCCGGGCCCGCCCCGGGCCCGCCCCGGGCCCGCCCCGGGCCCGCCCCGGGCCCGCCCCGGGCCCGCCCCGGGCCCGCCCCGGGCCCGCCCCGGGCCCGCCCCGGGCCCGCCCCGGGCCCGCCCCGGGCCCGCCCCGGGCCCGCCCCGGGCCCGCCCCGGGCCCGCCCCGGGCCCGCCCCGGGCCCGCCCCGGGCCCGCCCCGGGCCCGCCCCGGGCCCGCCCCGGGCCCGCCCCGGGCCCGCCCCGGGCCCGCCCCGGGCCCGCCCCGGGCCCGCCCCGGGCCCGCCCCGGGCCCGCCCCGGGCCCGCCCCGGGCCCGCCCCGGGCCCGCCCCGGGCCCGCCCCGGGCCCGCCCCGGGCCCGCCCCGGGCCCGCCCCGGGCCCGCCCCGGGCCCGCCCCGGGCCCGCCCCGGGCCCGCCCCGGGCCCGCCCCGGGCCCGCCCCGGGCCCGCCCCGGGCCCGCCCCGGGCCCGCCCCGGGCCCGCCCCGGGCCCGCCCCGGGCCCGCCCCGGGCCCGCCCCGGGCCCGCCCCGGGCCCGCCCCGGGCCCGCCCCGGGCCCGCCCCGGGCCCGCCCCGGGCCCGCCCCGGGCCCGCCCCGGGCCCGCCCCGGGCCCGTCCCGCCTCACAGGGCCTCGGGCCCGCCTCCGGTCCCGCCTCACGGGGCCCCGGGCCCGCCCCGCCCGGGGTTGGGAGCGGGGCCTCTGGTTCGGCTGCTGTCGGTGTGGGCTGGGGGTCCCGAGCGGTGCCGTCTCTCCCCCGGCGGGCGGAGTGTGGGTGTCGGGGCCGGAGGAGCGGGGATCGGGACCGGGATCGCTCCGGGACGGGCGCTGCGCCGGGACCTGCCGGGCCGGGGCTGCGCCTCTGGCCACGCACGGCGGACGGCGGCGATCTCCTCGGGCTGGCTGGAACCGGCCGGGGCCTGGGGACCCTCCGTGCCGGCCCCAGAGCCCCCAAACCTCGCCGCTCCACGTCGTGCCAGGGAATTTTTTTTTTCCCCAGTGTAGGCCGAGGATTCTTTATGAGAAAATTCAAAACTCAAGGACACGGGATGTGAGGGGAGCGGAGAGATTCTGGTATAAATTCAAAACACACTGTGAAAAATCACATGGAACAGCTCATTTGCTCTCCCAGACTGGTTTCTGGTGATCATCTGTGACTCCAACTGCTCCAATGCTGTAACGACTTGCCAGGTGCTAAGCACGACAGAAAATAATGGGAAAACTCTGGATCAGACAGTGGAGCCTCTCAGTAGTGTCCCAATAGTCCAGTAATACCCAGCATCTCTGGCTGGAAACTGAGGGGTTCCAGCACAGCCCCTCTGTAGTGTTCCTCTGGAGCTGACACTTCCCAGCATCCCTGACCAGGGTTTGGGGGTCCCAGCACAGGATACTGGCACAGGCCCTCTTGCTTCCTCAAATTCCCTTTAACCAGGATGATTTTTTTGGGGTAGGAGCACCCAAAGCCAGCAGAACTGGCCTTAACTACTTTTTCTGGGATCTCTCCTCTTTCTTCCTCACCAAATTCCCACTGTCAAAACAGAGCTTGAGGCTCAGCTCCCCATCCCCTCCATCTCTCCAGGAAACTGGGCTTGGATTTCCCAATCCAGCAGGGCAGAAATGCTGTTGTCCTTGATCCATTGATCCTTGACCTAACTGCAGAAATTGCTTAAGAAATAATAGAAAGAAATTAAATGAATGAAATTAAAGAAGAGCTGCCAGCTCCAACTAAGGGATGCTCAAAGCCCTTATCAATAATTTGCTTTAATTAGCCAACTCAAAAAAAAATAAACACCACATTGATACAGTATGATTCCTCTTAATTGAGTTATAGATAAATATTGCAGAATATAAAAACCTTTCTAAACCCAGAAACTCTTTTAAGAGATAGACAGGGCACAGCTGCAGAGAGACCCTTGGGATTCAGGGGAAAAAACCCGAAGCTTTCAGTCTTCAGCATCTTCCACTAAGTCGTCATTGACAGCAAACATGGCTTCAGCCTCAGGAAGACAGGGAGTCAGGGATTTTACAGATCCTGGTCTCACCTCAGCCTTTCAGCAGGTACAATCTGCAGGGAGAGGGAAGAAAATGGGTCAGAATGGACACCCTACTTCCAGAAAATCATCATAATTCATAAAGCATTACGTAGAGCTGTAAGAACTTCCCCAAAGGTTCATTTCCCTGCGGACTGAGGGCTCCAAGGTGAAGCACAGGCTGGACCTGCCATGGACAGACTACGGGAACCCCAGAAGTAAAAGCTGCTTGGCCACTTCCATAAACATGCCAAAGTCAGGCTCCTCACCTGGTGGTGGAAGCACAAGTAATGATCTTCCCTCCTGTGGGTTTTTTGCGATCTGCAGTGAACTGCAGGGGGAAAAAAACCAAAACCCAAGTATCTCCCATAACTGGAACAGAAAAGTGGGGAAAAAGGATGCAGGGGCACTCCTGGTGTGAATAACTGGGATCCAACCTCTCCAAACCAATGGTAGCAGAGACTGAGTGACAAAGCCTTTGGGACCAGTTTGCTGGGATTCATAGGAAAACTGATGAGTTTTACTCTGGCAATAAAGCCAGGCTGGTTATCACCTCATCAGCCGGGTCCAGCAGTGGCATCCACAGGAACCTGGCCAGGTGTGTCTGCCTGGCAGAGGGCTCCCCACTTCCTGGGAATCTGTGTGGTACAGGGCACTGTGGCACTGGCCATTAAAACAGTTCCTACCTGTCCTCTCACAAGGCAAGATGGTTTTTCCACACAGCAAATGTTTTTTGAATTAAGAAGATAACACTACACTCAACTGGAGAAGAAAAAAGTGAGATCTGTTAAATTTTCCTAAGCCAAAAAACAAAACCAAATCAAACCAAAAACGAACAATAATAATGAAAAAAATTAAGCATATTTCAAGAGAGTTTAAATCTGAATGAGGTGACGTGAAAAGCTTGAAAAGCTGCAAGACTGCAAAAATCTAATGCTGCAAAAAAAGCCTTTTCTTACGTCACATTTTATCCCTGAACTTGCAAAAAACCCCCACCAAACTAGCAATTCACCTCATACAGTTACTGAGTCATTCCTGTCTTTGAGCACAAGTCCAGCTAAAGCTATGGAGACAAGGACAACATGAGTGACTTAATGCTGTTCCTTTGGAAATCACAGCATCACAGGGAGGTTTTTCATTAGCTTAGGAAAATGCACACCCAGTTCAGTAGATACTGAATATCAGGGAAGTCAGGAGATAAATGTTTTGCTTTCAGAGACAGAAAATTAAGTAATATTTACATTAAACTAGAAGTCAACAGATTGTCTGCACAGAAGTCTTTATTAAGAAAAAAAGCCCTGGGGTATCCTTTTGAGGGATGTAAGAGGAAGTCCTTGGCTGGGACACAGCCTCAGCCAGTTCTGCTCCCCCACCACACAGGCCACCCATGGCCCTCAGCTCTTCCACAGTCTTTGTAATGTTCCCACAGATCCCAGAGGATCACAGGGCCAGCTTTCACCCTTGCCCTTCTCCTGCAGTTCAGCAGGTATTTCCTGTCAGACCTGCCTTTGCAGAGCAGCCACACGGGACTCCACAGTGGTCAGTCTTGTCTCCAGAACTTTGAATACCATATCCACCTGCAAAAAAACCAGGCAGAGCTACTGGGTTACACACAGAATTTGATAACACAAAGAGCATGTGTGGACGCCAGAAAGGACTCAAATCTCATCTCACATCACCAATTCTTTTCATTTGACTCTTTCCCTACTACTTTCATACTGTGAAAGCTCACCCAACTCTAACATTCACTGTCCACTTTTTCCAGCCTTGGTGTCAGAGCCACACACTCAGCTTTTGCTGGACAACCTTCAGTTTCTACAGTCAACTTCCTTACACTATTTGCTTCCAGCTCTTCCTACCTACAGTCACAAGATTTTAGCAGAGCAAAACATCAACCTGATTTATGATGTTATACTTCAATACAAAGCTACAGCAAAAGCATTAAGTCCATTGCACAAAAGGCAGAAGAAACATGACTAAAAGTTAAGATCTGGAGAAGTGAATCAGAACTAACTAGAAACAACACATCAAATTACTGAGACATAAATAGGAACCTAATGCTGTGCTTGATAAACAGAACGTGCCAATTACCATGAAAATTGAAGGAAAAGTTACTGAAAATCTTGCATAACACAAGATACCAATGACATGAAGCAGACCAGTACATGCTGCAGTGCACTGAAGTGCTCTGGGTGACATCAGCTATTCTGCAGAAGCTACTGAAGCACATTAAGGTTTCACAGAGGTGATTTAAACAAAGAATGATGTAAGGTTAAATCTCACCTTTTCCAGCACATCTTGCAAGACAGCTTGACTTTCAAGAGTAAGAGGCTCCTCATTAATAACAGCTCGCTTCTCCGGGGTTCCTAGAATGTAGCTGAGATGCCACAGTTTACATCATGCACTTCCCACTCTGAAGCCAAAAATCCCAACACAGCACTCCTCCAGAACCCTGAGAGATAGCCATGGATTCTGGGCTGCAGGATGCAGTGAAAAATTGCACAGACACCAAGAACAGTGCAGCACTGGCCGGGAGAAGCAGCATTACCCTCCAAGAAAAGTGCCATTCTGCAGCCAGGTCAGTGCTTTAGAGAATTTAACTACCAAAAAATAAGGTATCATAGCTGTGGAATTAAGGAAAAAAACCAAAAGCACTGTCCAGAGCATGAGGGTGAACATCGACAGCAATACAGCAAAATAAATGGGAACTTCAGAAAAAAACAAGAGACATTAAAACTAGTTCAGGTGAACACTGTCCATCAGAACAATGCTTGCATAAAAGAACTCTGGCATAAAGCCTTGATTCACTATAGAGTTAGTGAAGAACACCTTAAGACCACTTTTAAGTGCTATAAACTGACTAAACCCAAGCACACTTTCATTTTCTAGACAGATTTTAAGATGGCTGAGTGAGAGTTTTCAACACATACTCAGTTGTCAGATTTGCCTTTGCCCCCCTTAGCAAGGACAGAGCCGACGTGGCCAGCACAGGCCAGACCCACCCCAAGTTGTGCCTGAGCCCCTCTGCCCACACTTCCTGCTGGTAATGCTGACCCCTAAGGGGCTCCAGACAGGCACATTTGGTGCTTGGTTTGTGCACTCTTCTGAGCAAATGAGAAGGAACCCTCCTGTGCCCTGGACCTGGTCATATTTTCTTGGCTGGAATGCAATTTGTCATACAAAAGGCAGAGCTAGCTGGTTTGGGTTTTCTTCCTAGGATTTGCCTTACACAGGTGATGTTCCTCAGAACTGAGCACGGTGATGCCAACAGCAGCAATACAGAAAACCACTGTGGGACAGAGCAGCAGGAAAACAACCTCTAGACTTCCCAGAGATAGAACAGGAGCACCCTCAGTGCAATGCCTGGTGAGTGAAGTGGAGCTGGCAGGCTGACCCACAAACATTCTGTATTTACCTTTCAACAGAGTCAACATTGAAACAGAACAAATCTCTCTTGTAGTCGAGGTTCCTTGAGGTGCACCTGTAGATGCTGCCAAGTGTCTTTGAGCAGCCAGAGCAGAATAAGGTTTCTACTACACTGTAAGTAAGAAACAACATTGTTTCAGAAGAAAATAAAAGGAAGCACCTCACCCCATCCTTTCTTTAAAAAAAAAATGCATTAGAATTTTTTAAGCATTCATTCTTGCTTTACACAGTGTAAATTGTGAGCACTCATCCTTCAGCCTGAATTTGCAACAGTTCCTCAGGCTGACTGACCTCAGCAAGACCATCAGAATCACAAAATTGTGGTAGGGACCTTAAAGCTCACCCCATTCCACCCCTGCCATGGCAGGGACACTTTCCACCATCCCAGGCTGCTCCAGCCCCAGTGTCCAGCTGGCCTTGGGCACTGCCAGGGATCCAGGGGCAGCCCCACTGCTCTGGGCACCTGTGCCAGGGCCTGCCCACCCTCACAGGGAAAAACTTCTTCCTGATATTTAATCTAAACCTGCCTTCCTCCATCCTCAGGCCATTCCCCTTGTCTATCACTGCCTGCCCTTGTGAGAAATCCCTCTGCCTTAGGCCACAAGCGGCTTGTACAAACCCCGCAAGGAAGTGTTCCCTGGCTCTGGGGGGCACACCAGCACTCCGGGCCCTCCGCCGGGCTTGTCCTCAGCGCCCTCCCGGGAACCCCCGCCTCCCCCGGGACTGTGCCCAGCCGCGACCGGCCCTCACCATCCGCACTCGCCGGGGAGATTGGAGATCTTCCGCTCGGGGTCCACGGCGACGCTGGCGGCCACACCTGCAGCGGGAGAGAGGGAGGGAAGGAGGGACGGCGCCGTGACGGCGGCGGGGTCGCGCCGGGCTGGCACTCACTGCGCAGCAGGATGCAGCCGCTCTCCTCGTCGTTGGACACCCAGCTGGAGGTGTCGCCCACGGGCCGCCTGCAGCCGGCGCACAGGAACACCATGGGCATGGGGGCCGCCTCCGCCCGCCGCCGCTGCTCCTCGGCCCGGCCCGCGCCCGGCTCCAGCAGCGACAGCGAGTACTCCAGCGCCGGGCACAGCGACAAAGGGTCCTGCCCGACCGACATGGTTTTCGAATCGCCCGCCGAGGGAGGGGCAGTGACACCGGACATCGCGCTCGAACAGCCCGCCAAGGAAGCGGGAGCCGCCCCCGCGTGGCCCCGGAACTGCTCCGGGGGCCGGCCCCGCACCGCCCTCACGCCGCGGCTGCCCCGGAACTGCTCCCGGGGCCGGCCCCGCACCGCCCGTGCCGCGTTTAGACCTTGTTAGGTCACGGAACCAAAGCAAAGGATGTGGTCATTCCAGTATATCGCTTTTATATGAAGCGTTTTATCAAGTCACTCCTAATTCAGAGGATCTCCTGAGCTGGAAGGACCCACAAGGACCACCCAGTGCCACCTTGTCCCTGCACAGACACCCCAACAGTCCCACCCTGGGCATCCCTGGCAGCGCTGTCCAAACGCTCCTGGAGCTCTGTGGGGCCCTGCCCATTCCCTGGGGAGCCTGGGCAGTGCCAGCACCCTCTGGGGAAGAACCTTTCCCTGCTCTCCAGCCTAAACCCCTCCAGACACAGCTCCAGCCGTTCTCTCGGTGCTGTCGCTGTCACAGGGAGTGGGGCCCGGAGCTGCAGCCCCAGTGGGCTCTGACCTCCGTCTCCTCCAGGCTGAAGAGGCCGAGTGCCCCTGCAGACCCCAGCCCTTCCCATCCAGACACATTCGGGAATGTTTTCCCGCCCGGCTGTGCTCAGGAGCTCCCAGGAACAGTGCACTGCTGTGAGAGAAGGGTTTATGATCCAGCTGGCACTTGTCCATCCTGTCCCTAGGTTACAGGGCACCCGTCTCCGTTTAAAACACCTTGAGGAATAACATGAGTCTCCAGCAGGAAGCAAGGATTGCATTTTCAGGGCTGCTCTTACATCTGTGCCATACATTAACGCTCGCTGCCACTAGATGTTTTCAGTCCCAAGGCAGTCCTTGAGCTGCGGGACCCCGGAGCGATTGGCACAGGCACCAGTTGTGCAATTCTCTGTCTGAGGGCGCCGAAGTGCAGTGAGGCAAAGTAGCGGGTCGGAGTTCTGAGCTGGCTTAGCAGGCACCGCTGACATGGCTAACAGAACAAACTCCTCTGAGTATTTCTGGTCTTATGAATATTACTGGGATTACATAGATCCAATTCCAGTAGATGGAAGCAAGTTGAAGGTTAATAAATGTAAGTATTGTGGAGTGGTAGGTGCTAATCTAGCATGGGGAAAATGTTGCGTAGCTTGTCTCACTGACCTGGTTTTGTTTCCTGGCAATAGAGTCCATGCCAGTGCCTGGTTTGTGTGAAAGGGTGTTGGCCTTCAGGCTGGCTAATTACTAACAAACACTCTGGGCTTTATCTTGCAGTATCTGAAGCTGTAAGACTGCTGACACTAATTCTTGTTTACATGGATAGATTTTTCCTGAGTCATTTGCTAAGGGGAAATGTGATGACTTGTGAATCTGTAGTGTGGGATGCTAGTTACCTGTGTGCTACTGTCACCGAAGTTCACTGAAGGAGCAGAGGTTTTCATAAAAACACTGCGTTTTCATCCTGGGACAAGGCTGACATTGCAGCTGGTAAGCATTCACTTTTAGTATAGGAAATGTGTGTTTCCACTAGCCAGGAACAATAAGCTGCAAACACATTCTTTGACCTTCCCTCCCTTCCCTGAAGATGCCTGAAACTGTTCAGATGTGGATTCAGAGACTAAAATTGTTTTTTTTCCAAGGTTATTACAGTGAAATTATTATATATTCCAGGAAAATGGGGCTGCCTTTCAGAATATCTTCATGTCTCTCTCACTAACAATGCAAGAAACTGCCTTTCTGATGGTGAAGGTTGAATTCTGTGTTAGGAGCTGCTTGTCCTTTGGTTGCTTGGACAGCAGCAGCAAAAAGGAGCAGAAACTTACTCTGCACCACCGCTAGAAAAGCTTTTCTGTGCTTTCAGATCAGCCGAGGGTTTACTGCCTCCAAACTTAGAGCACCACACCTTAAAGAAAGTGGTGTGAATATCCACATCCCTCCATACAGAAAATCTTGCTCTCTGATGCTGCAGAGCAACACTTGGTGCTGCTGAGACCAAGCAAATTATGAGCAGCTCCTCTGATTCTCTCAGTTTTAATGTTAGGGCAGATGATTACACCCAAATTCCACTAGGGAAACTCCAAACTGCTTAGCTAAGCTAGATTAAGTCTCGGGCATGTGGCTGGCATAGCAAAACCCAAAAATCAGGAATAAACCTTTCCCCTGTTTTTTCCTTAATAATATTTTTCTACCATTTGGATCACCTGGTGCATTACAGAGGTAGCATTTGTGTTATAGCACTTCCCTCCCTGGCAACTGATAGGACATTTTTCTTCAGCTGCCTGTGTTCTTGAAATCTGTAGAAACTGCTTCTGAGACACGATGCACGCCCTCTGTTAAATTTAATTTAAATTTGCTGGCAGTTTTGTGGAGGAATAGAGAGTGCATCCTCTTGGTACTATTATTCTTCCTTCTCCAAATACCAGTGGGAGAACAGCGGGTTACAAGTTCTAACCAAAACACCAAGGGAAACAATTCCACAGCTGCTTGGGATATTTCACTGTTTTGAGTAAAAGTACCAGTCAAGCAATGAATATACTTTATCTGTCTTTGCACAATATTTACATTCTTATGCCTCCAGAGGCTGCTGCTGGGATTATTGGCTCCATGTGCTCAGGGCCATTGCTGGGGCAGCCCTAGGGAATTGTACAGTCACCATAACCCTGCCATGGGATTGCAGTTCCCTCGTTCAGTTTTGCCTGCTAGGGTTTTTTTTAATTCTTTTAATGTGAAACAGAGACCTGAATCTCTGTACTTCTTTTCCTCTGATACGTGACTGGTCCCTTTTTGAGACTGAATTTGTCTCAAAAATGAATCTAAACCCAGATAAAAAGCCGTGGTCTCGCTTTCTGTTTGCAATGTTGTGCATCTCTCTGAATTTTGTACGAAAATAATTGAAAATCTTAATTGGTCCATGACCTAATAGGCTATTCAAAAGCATGCACACACACATGCACAAAAGGTGATGGTAAAATTTAGCAACAGAAAGCTTTTTGTAGATTGGTAAAATATGAAAATATGTTATTCCAGTTTAAAAACAAAAAACCCAAAAACCCAAACAAACACAAAACCCAAACAAAAGCAAGCACACAAACAAACAAAAAACAACTAATTGCAGAATTTAAACCCAGGAAATTTTGGTTCAAGCTCCACCAGAACCTTGGAGCCAGTTTATTTAGCTTCACTGAATTCCATGAAATCTATTAAAACTGTTTTTAAAAGATAAAGCCAATATAGCTCTGACAGGGAATTCTGTAAATCCAAACTCTTAATTTCTGTCCCAGTGGTGTGGAACACTTCAACACTCTGGGCTTTTCAAAATGTCTCTGGGCAAAGGAAGAATAAAATAAGCTGCACCTCCCCACTGATATTTCTCATCAGCCCAGCCAAAACTCAGGTTTCTGCTAAGGTTACAGCTGGGCCAGCTCTAGTTTTGGGTTTAAAAGGAGCTGGCTAATTCCCTTAATCTCTCTGTGGCTTTGATGGCAACACATACTGAACTTTTTCACAGGGAAACACTCAATCAAACATACTGGACCTGTTTCAAAGGACACAATGTTTTCTGTACTTCCAGAGGGACGATTTATTTTGTCTTGGTCAATATTTGTCTCTGGAGTCAGTGACCCTTCTTTCTCCACCTCATCTGAAGTGAGTCACCGGCTGTGAATCCAGGCAGGGCACGCAGAGTTCCCAAGGCCAGCCCCAGCACAGTGCCCAGCAAGGCAAGGAGCATTTGTGGAACAGTGGCCAAAGGTGCCGTGGGAGCGGGAGCGGGTTCTCAGGGAGCCCAAGGCTCAGGCAGTGAACCTGGCACAGCACTGAAGCCTTCATGGAAGAGCAGCTCCCTCTGCTCCCCCAGGCTGTGGACACACTCTGGCACTGGCAAGCCTTTGTTCCTCAATAAACCGCGTGCCCTGGCAAAGCAGGCAGCACCTCGCATCTTCCGCGGCGGCTGCGGGGGCCCTGAGCCGAGCAGGGCAAGGGGCACTTTCTGTTCCACTGGGAGATGTGCTGGGAGGCACAGGCACCGTGCAACAAACTCCCCTTGCTACTTCTCCTGGTATAAAATGCTTTCTGGGCTGGAATTCCCTCCCTGAGGGCCTCTCCTTAAAGCTCCTGCAGGATGAGGCAGTAACCACTCAGGCTTCCTGCACTGTGGCTGTGTAACAGGACCCGTGTTCAGTTATCTGCACAGGTCTAGGCACCAGAACACTCCGGAGGCTTTTCCCAGCCTCATCCCCATTGCCATGCTCTGTTAGGAGGCTCCCAGGACCTTTAACAAATGGCACTTAGACTCCTCTCTCTGAAAGGAAAAACAGATCAGAAGGCTCACCTCTAGCAGAGATGGTAAACCATGTTGCTGTGTCATTTCTGCCGTGCAAAAAGGGCATGTGACAGAATCCCTCTGCTGTGCCCACAGACTCCATCGTCATCGCCTTCTGGGTGGGCCTCGCTGCCTTCGTGACGTTTCTTTTCCTTATTCTGCTCTGTATGTCCTGCTCTGGATCCACGCCAGCAAAGTGAGTACAACCTGAGATAAAGTGAGTATAACCAGAGGCAAAGTGAGTATAACCAGAGGCAAAGTGAGTACAACTTGAGATAAAGTGAGTATAACCAGAGGCAAAGTGAGTATAACCAGCGGCAAAGTGAGTATAACCAGAGGCAAAGTGAGTACAACCAGAGATAAAGTGAGTACAACCTGAGATAAAGTGAGTATAACCAGAGGCAAAGTGAGTAGATACTGGCATGAAAAAATAGCCTGTGGGAAACATGCACTGCCTCCAGTGATCCAGCACTGACACAGAACGTTTATGACTGCACAGAGGTGAAAAATTTTCTGTCAGTATTTGGTTGGAGAGCCTCTTGACCCACTGCTCCTCCTAAGGCATTTGCCCACTGCTCCTCCTTTTCTGATCAGGAAAATTCAGCTCAGCAGGCTGGGCAGACATTCAGGATTAGGTCACAAACAAGCAGAGGGAAACAGTGGTCAGAAGGAGCACTAATATTCTCATTTATTGGCACCCTAGGGCCTCTGGCATGCTCACAAAAGGTAACAAAAACAGTAACAAAAAGGCAGATTACCCAAATAAACCACAAAGCAGGAGGCAGACTAACAACACAACAGACATAGAAATGAACATGAAATTGCAGGGTAACAGAGGCATGTTACCAACAATTTACTGTTCCTAAAAAACTGGCAGGAGAAGTCTGTGTACATGAAAATCTCAGAGTGCTTGCAAGACTTAAACAAAGCATTGATTTTTAAAGTTTTTTTCACTTTTTCATCATGTTACTGAGCAAAATACTTGGCTTTAAAGTACACATGTTTATCCCTCATGTATTCAAATTTGGCCATCAAAGGAGGCATTGTGAACAAGGCAAGTCTAGAAATGTTTTCTGGAGTGCCCAGAAATCATTAATGAAAAACAGCAGTCAATGAGATTTGTTTAGGCTTTGAAACCATCCTATGTTATCATTTTCCGAGGCTTGAAACATACTGCGAGAAAATAATTTAAGGACTGAAGAAACTATTAAACCCACTCACACACAAAACTTGCCCTTTTTTATTGAATTCTGTTTGTTTTCTAAGCCCCATTCAATTCCACTTCTCCCAATTCCAGCACCAAAACCCAGTGAAGTGCTGGAAAGAAGCCACTAGCGTGAACTTGCCCTGCCCTGTCATCCCCTGTGCTGTGTCACCCTCCCGCCGCCCTCGGCATGACAATCATCAGTGTCTGTATGGAAACCTCACGTCTCTTTCCTGCTGACAATCCCGGTACACTCACCCAGCAAACGCCTGCTCACGTCACCGGTCAAGGCTGGAGAACTTTCACCTTCATCCTTTCTGTGCTCATCCGTCTCTGCCGAGCCCAGGGACGGGCAGGATCCCCGTGCTCCCCAGCCCAGCCACGTCCTGGAGCGAGGAGGCAGCACCCTGGGCCAGGGCCTGTCCACCTCCACAGGGAACAATTCCTGCCCAATATCCCATCCAGCCCGGCCCTCTGGCAGTGGGAGCCATTCCCTGTGTCCTGTCCCTCCAGGCCTTGTCCCCAGTCCCTCTGCAGCTCTCCTGGAGCCCCTTCAGGCCCTGCCAGGGCTCTGAGCTCTCCCTGGAGCCTTCTCCTCTCCAGGTGAGCACCCCCAGCTCTCCCAGCCTGGCTCCAGCCTGGAGCAGCTCCGTGGCTCCTCTGCGCTTGTTCCAACAGCTCCACATATTTCTTGTGCTGGACGCCAGGGCTGGGGCAGCTCTGCAGGTGGGGTCTCACCTGAGTGGGAAGAGGGGCAGAATCCCCCCCACCTCTTTGGATGCAGCGTTGATGCAATTTTGGCTATGCGTGACACCCATCTCCTCCCCCGGAGCGTAACGCCAAGGGTTAACTGCAGAGCAGAGTGCCTGGCTCTCACCTGCACATCTGCACAGAAACCAGTCCCTGCCAGGTGTCCCCAAAGGCCACAGCTCTCCTCCTCAGGCACAGCTGAATCCTGAGGCACGGAGAGCTCCTGGACGTGAATCTGCGGTCTGATTGCAGCACACACTTCCCTGCAATCCCCAAGGGTTCGGTGCCAGTTTCGGTGGGTGAGTTTGGGAGAGCGGGGCAGGCTGATGCCTGTACAAGCCCTGCAGGGGGGGATCCATGTCCCAGTCCCTTTTGTCAGCACTGCACCGTCCCACAGAAGTAAGACAGAAGGTCTGGAGCATGGCACCACTGATTTCAAACGCATCTGACTGCCAAGGCAGCTGATGACCACTCTGCTGGGATGGAGAGCGTTAACATTTGTTTCAGCAGTGTGTATAAACATCCAAAATGAAAGACTTTTCCAGCTGCATCTTATCTCAGCTTTAGTTCTGCGACTTTGCCTGGGCCGGGTCAGTCGCAGCACTGCCCAAGAGTGACCTGGCCTGACCTGGTGCATCTTTGGGTACTGGGACACGGGAACTCTTCCAGCCTCCTCCAACCTCTCTGCTGTTCCTGGGGTGCTTTACAATTAACAGACCTGCCTGGAGCTCTCCTCAGACAGTCACAGGTCTGAGGGATGCAAGTTCTCTCCCTGATTTTAAAGTATGGATACCTAGCTGGTGGTTTTGGCTGCTTGATAGACAGGAAAGAAAACATCCTGTTTTGGTAAGAATTTTTCTTTTTGTCTTTCTTCTGTCAAACAAAGAGGAAAGATGTCTTGAATACACCAGCAGCATAGGAAAGAAAATTCCAATCCTACCTTCCTGTGCTGGGCCTGCTGCTGAGACTTTGCAGCTTTGTTTCTGCTTTTTGAAGTGCTCGGCTCGGTTCGGCGGAGCTCGGAGCCGCTCTCTCCGTTCGGAGCAGCTCGGCTCGGCTGAACTCGGAGCCGCTCTCTCCGTTCGGAGCAGCTCGGCTCGGTTCGGCGGAGCTCGGAGCCGCTCTCTCCGTTCGGAGCAGCTCGGCTCGGTTCGGCTGAACTCGGAGCCGCCCGCTCTGTACGGCTGAGCTCGGCTCCGTTCGGCTGAACTCGGAGCCGCTCGCTCCGTTCGGCTCCGTTCGGCTTGGCTCACCTGAGCACGAAGATCGGTGCTGTCCTGCTGCCGTGTCCCGCGGGCGGCCCGGCCATCGCCCTGTCGGGAAAATTCATCCACAAACACCATAGGTTTATGTCCAGAAGGAGACACAGGAGTCCTGTAACTTTATTTGCATAAAGGGAGAGGCCATGGGCATTTCCCACGGGGTCTCAGGATGCTGGAGGACGCAGCTTCCTTTTTATCCTGATTTATCGGACACATTTCTCTCTGTCTTCCCCATCGGCTGAGGTACTTGAGAGGTACAAGGTTCCCAAATTTCCTAATACAGACGGCCTCTGATGTGCATCCCCACCTTCTTCTTCTTTGTGTCTGTGTTCTTTTTCTTCAAATCCAGGAATTCAGCACGGGCTTGGGTGAGCAGCAGTCTCTGTCAATTAGTGGAATTCCTCTGGAATTTACGGTTCTACTAATTATTTGTTTCACCTGTCAGTGTCTGGGTTTGTCTACCAGCAGACCCGCAGTTCGTTTGTAAAGACACCTCCTTCTCATTCCTTCCAGCACGGCCACGAACGGGAGCGCGGGGTCGGGCAGGAGCTCATTAGGCAGTGACTGCACTCGCGCTAATTAATGGGCACGAGAGCACCAGGGCAGATCCTGGTGCAAGGATGGAACGCTTGCCAGCGGAACGTGTTGGAATCACTCTGCGATCCCAGCGGTTCGAAGTTTGGCAATGCTGCGGGACATGCTCAAGGCGTCAGTAATGTTTTTTTCAAAGAAACCCCCCACGGAGTGGTGGAAGAAAACAATAAACAATATTGCCTATTTACTGACAGTGTCTTTGCCTTTTGTGATGTTGGCCGGCTCCACGGGGGTAAATCAACTTCAGGAGGAGCTTTTGCTGCTGTTCTTGCTCGCGTGTTGGAATACAGCAGAGTCCTTGTCCCTTTACACATCCGGAAATACAAATTCAGCAGAATTTCAGTTCGCCTGAGCTCGGCTGGGTTCGGCTGAACTCGTTCGGTTCGCCTGAGCTCGGATCGGTACAGTTGGATCCGCCTGGGTTCGCCGTATTTCGGCTAGATTCGGCAGAAGTCGGTTGGGCTCGGCGAAACTCGGAGCCGCTCGCTCCGCTCGGCTCGGCTCCCTGAGGGCGGCGCGGGCCGGGCCGAGGCGCCGCCGGGAAAGCGGCACCGCCTCACGTTAAACACGCAAAGCTCGGTGCTCTCCAGCTGCCGTGTCCCGCGGGCTGCCCGACCCTCACACGGACACGGACGGCAGCACGGGAGTCGGGCAGGAGCTCATTAGGCAGTGACTGCACTCGCGCTAATTAATGGGCACGAGAGCAGGCGGCCGGGTTCGGCGGCGCTCTGTTCGGTTCAGCCAGCCTTGTGAGGTTCGCCTCGGTTCGGTCGAAGTCGTAGGGTTCGGCTGGTCTCGGCTTGGTTCGGCTGAGCTCTTCGATTCGGCTGAAGGCGGCCACATTCGGATCTGTTCAGTTAAACTCGGCTAGATTCGGCTTCGTTCGGCTCTTCGGCGCAACTCGGCTCGGTTCGGCTAAATTCGGTCATATTCGGCTCTTCGGCTAAACTCGGCTGTTATCGGCTACATCCGTCTGTCATCGGCTCTTCGGCTAAACTCGGCTATTTCCGGCTCTTCGGCTAAAGTCGGCAATTATCGGCTAAACTCGGCTCTTCGGCTAAACTCGTCTAAATTCGGCTATTTCCGGCTCTTCGGCTAAACTCGGGCATTGTCGGCTAAATCCGGCTATCATCGGCTCTTCGGCTAAACTCGGCAATTATCGGCGAACCTGGATTTTCCCCGCCCTTTTTGTCGCCATATTGAGAAGGTCAAGCCGGTCCGCGACACGGTACACCCAAGATGGCGGCAGCGAGAGGGCCACGGCAAGCAGAGGCGTTTTCGCTGATGCCAGTCAAAAACCCGCCGAAATACGCGCGCCCGCGGCGCCGCTGAGCGCACAGCCCGTGTCCACGGCACTGGAAATGCTACGGAAAATCCCACCGAGGCCGCGCCGGCGTCGGGGTGCCGCGCAGGCAGTCCAGTAGACGGACCGAGGTCTTCGATTTGCCCGCGCTGGCTTTCCGCCATCTTGAGAAGGTCAAGCGCGTCCCGGGCCACCCTCTCCTCCGCTGTCGCCCGCTGCAGCACTTCGGCAGAGAGCGGCGCTTTCGCCGCCGCCTCTCGGCTGCTTGTGGGGGGGCTGCAGTACCGCGCTCTGTCCACAAGGCGGCAGCGCTGCCGCCCGCCCCAGCCGGGGCTGCGGCCAGGGACGCGGCAAAACCGACCAGGCGCGATCCCCTCCAAAAACTCCTCTGAAGTGAACAAACAAAACAAAACAACCCGGAAGGAAAAAAAAAAATCCCTGCCTCTGACCCAATAAGAAGGAAAATTAAGACCCCTTTCTTTTAAACAATATTTAAATATATTTTTTCATATTTATGTTCACATGTATATTCATAACGTATATTGATGTATAATGTAATTTATATTCTATAGTATTTATATTTATAGTTTTATACATGTCTCTATATATCGATTATATGTTTCTATATTTCGCTTTATATTTATATAATGCTTATATTGTTTAAAATAAAACCCCTGCCTCTACCCAAATAAAAACAAGAACCTTTCTTTTAAACTGTATTTCAATTTTTAAAATTTATATTTTTCATATTTATATTCACATTTACATTTAAAATGTACATTGATGTATAGTGTTATTTATGTTGCATCTCCTCCTATTATTTATATTTATTATATTTTTTAATTTATATATATCTTTATATATTGATTATATATTTCTGTATTTGGAACTATATCAAAATAATATGTATATTCATATTATCTAAAATAAAACCCCTGTCTCTAACCAAATAAAAACCAAAAAAAGCCCTTTCTTTTAAACTACATTTAATTATTTTTATATTTATATTTTTCGTAATTATATTCACATTTGCATTTATAGTTTATATTGATGCATTACATTTATATATATAATATACATCATCATGTAATATAATTTTTAAACTGTTATTACATATCACAAGTACTGCTAATACTTGTATTCACTCAAATTTTTAAATTTTATATATATCTTTATGTATTTATGATGTATTTCTACACTTAGATATCTATCTTATTTTATTTATAATTTTTATAATAAAACCCCTTCGTATTACCAAATAAAAAGCAAACCCCCCCCTTTATTTTAAACTATATTTAGATACTTTTATATTTATATTTTTCTACTTTACATTGACATTTCCATTTTTAAGTGGTTATATATTACATTATAATATATTGAGGTTCTATATTTAGACATGTAATAAATATTACATATAATATGTAATAATATAATAAGATATATACACATAATTTGTATTATGTGTTGTATCAATTTATATTATTTTGTATTTATTTATATTTATATACATCGTATATAAATGTATCTATTTATATGTATTGTGTCCATTTATATTATTTTGTATTTATTTATATACATCGTATATAAATGTACATATTTATATACATCGTATATATTTGTATACAATATTTTCCCCCTTCCATTTAAAATAGAACACAGGGATTCCCTGTCACCCCTATGATACCCCTAACACCCTGGAAAAGGCAGGTTTTCCTTCCATCCACACCCTTGAAGCCACAAGTGAGGGGGGATCCTGCCCAGTTCCAACACAGACAGTAATGGAAGAGGAGTTGCTTCCCTCTTCTTAGTATCTTTTGTCCTCATAATCCCCTTTTTCTTTTTTTTTTTTTTTTTTTTTTCCTGGGGGCACCGGGGCAGGAATGGCAAGATGAAATGGAAAAGGGAAAGAAGTCCACAAAAAATAAATACACGAGATGCCCACTCACTGTGTCAAACCTTATTTAAAAGGCACCAAAATAACCCTACAGAAATAGTTCCACAACCAAGACAAACCATATAAGCAACACTAACTAAAACCACACATCCAAATACAGTATTTATCAGTCACCAATCCTAAAAATCCATTTTCTACATGCGTTGTTAGTATACCTCTTAACACCTAAGCTTATCCCTCACAAACTTTAAATTGTAAATCAGTATATCCTACATATTACAAGCTCTTAAAAAACAATTTATAAACTCTTACCTAAATTACAGTTAAATCACAAAAATTAAAATTACTAAAGTCATTACAAAAAATACTTGTATAATATTAGTTACAAAAAAAACCCAAAACAAAAAACACAAAAACACAAAGAAGTTACCTTAAAGTATCAAAAGTATAATTTAAAACAAGTAACGCGACTAAGACTCAACAATACATAAAAAACCCCATAATCACTCAAACACAAATTTACTTCCCAATATCAATTCCCACGAGAGCGACGAACCGGCTCTGTCGGCCAGTTGCTGGGGGGGGTCTGGGCGTAATACCACTGGAACGCCTAAAGCACACAAAAGAGAACGGAGCCTAAGAGTTGCACCAGAAATCGAGACCTGAGCAATACCAACTGCTTCCAGCCACCAGTCGCTGCTCACCTTGCCCACTTGCCTTGACTGCTAAAATCCAGCTTTACTTCCTAAAAATAAAGACAAACAACAATGCTGTAACACAGAGACATCGTGTATGCTTCCCCTGCACAAACAGTGACTGACCTGAGCCCCTCAGCCCAGTGAGGCTTGTCCTTTACGTGGCCTAAGAGGAGTCACCTCTTGCACATCCTCACCTCCAAAGCTGACTCAAAAATTGTGGGGGGACAGAAGGTAAGAAAATATAGTGCAGAAAATAATCTCACCCCTAAGGAGTTGCAGCTGGGCCAATTAACAAAGATTAGGAACAGGCCTGACTTGAACAGGCCACAGCTGTGACCAGTGAGAGGGAGAGTGCTACAAAAGAGTGGGTTGGCTGGATGAGAAGGGAAATGGAGCTGGTTGGGGCTGCGTGAGGAAGAGAGTCAGTGCTCTGAGGAGCTGCCCATGGGACTATACCAAGAAGGTATGAAACTTTTGCAATAAGATAGGCCGACGCTTGCAGGGCTGGGCTCTTCTCAGCAGCATTGCCTTGAGCCAACCAACCACGGCCTCAGTCAGGGCTGTGAGCTTCCCTGGCTGCGGACCACAGGCATCCCTGGGTGGGCTGGGGAGGGAACCCCCTGCTTATCCCTGGGGGTTTACTTGTGGACCCTGACCCTCCGCTCTTGCACCCTGCTTAGGGTTGACATTACAGTTACCATGGGCACCTGTGGGGGTTCTGGCATTGTCCTGCACTTTTAGGGCATGTCCATGGTGTTTAGGGCATGGACTAGGGGTGGGGTGAAGGCTGGTACACCTGTACTCCACCTTCTCTCCTAACCTGTACACTTTATATTCCCTGTGTGCTCTCTAGCCCTTGAGTTGTTCACCTCTTAAGTCTCTCTCTGTCACTGTCAAGCCCACCTGCTATTTGTTCCTTTGTTCTCAGTCTCTCATTTGCTGTTTCTGGCCCCTGGCATCTGTCTATCACCTGGAGCCCCGGCTTTGCTGTCCGAGATGCCCCTGTGCCTCTCAGCTGCTTGCGTGGTGTTTAAGGTAAGGGCTAGGGGAGGAGTGAGGACTGATGTACCTCTTCTCTACCTTATAGCCTAACCTGTACCTCTTCTCTACCTTACATCCTAACCTGTACCCCATATTTTTGCTGTGTGCTCTCCAGCCCCTTTACCCCTCTCTGTTCCTCAGCCTGTGACCTGCCACCCTCGAGCCCGCCTGCTTAGCGCTGCCCTGCCAGCCCCGGACATTATTCCCACCTCTTTTCTTTTGGTCTTGCGCTGCTCTGAGCGCTGTGATGGTGACAGCTTTCCTGCTCACCGTCGCTGTAATGGTCAAGCATGTGGCCGGGAACAGCCATCTGTATCTATGTATCTATATCTATATATCGATAATCTATCTCTACCACCGGGAGGGGCGTGGCCTACGGATGTATTACACGGTAATGAGGGGCGGGGCAATGACGCCACGAGGGGGCGGAGTCATGTGCCGATGTAATGACGCGCGTGGGCGGGGCGAAGGGACGTGCCGGTGCTTAGGCGGAGTGGTGGGCGCTGCTGCGCGGGGGGACGGAGCCACTGGAGCAAAGTTCTCAGGAGGAGCCTCCCAACAAATCCTCGTGCCTGACGAAACCCCGGCCCCAGCACGGTCTGCACCCAAAGCTTGGTGATGAACAAGCCTTGGAGACCGGATGGGACCATGGCAAAAAAG